CCTGGTGAAGAAAGGCACTCCCAGAGCATGATGCTGCCACCGCCATGTTTCACATGCCACATTTTGGGGGAATTGTTATTAATAAAACCATACATAATTCTCTTTGCGTTTAAGTTTATGTTTGTGAGATGAAAAACCATGAGAAAAGAACAAAATTGATTGCTTACTTTAAGCTAACAAAGTTTTTTATGTATTATGACTGAGAATGAGATCAGTGGCAGAGCTAATTCACCGGCAGTCAAAATGAACTTACTCAGAGGACAGCAGACAAAAAGAAAGGAAAAGAAATCCACAAAGAGCAGTTTAATTTCAGATCGTTTTATGAACTATTATACAGTACACTGAGTAACTCAGAGCATGAGTGGCCCGCTGTGTATTGTGCGACTTTCCCTCGCTCAAGTGAATCACCGCATGTCCTGCAACTCCACACCAAGACAGTCCCCTGTTCAGACAGCGGCATGCTGGCAGAGGCTCACGTCTCCTCTGTTGACTCAGAGCCGCGGCTCTGTCTCTGTGAAACCTGTCATTGTGTCGCGGCTGATTACTGATGCACTGGCTGCTGCGCGGCCCCTGGGGGTCACACAGCGGAGCCTCTGTGCTCTGGCCGGACAAAGTGGGCTCCTCAGGAGTGAGCCCACAAAATTGTCATGCATGTGTCTCTGCGTCTGAGAGATACAGCAGGCTGTCACTCTCTGAAGCCACAGAGGATTAGAGCTCATGTGTTAAATGTGAGAGAGGCACGCAAGGGACGAGCAGCTGTTCTCTGTGATACTAAAGCAGCCTTTTGCGACATTCAGCGAAGCGGCTCCTCTGGGCGGAAACAAGCTCTCCTCACAGGCAAAGGCAACAGTGACGCCCTTCCTAACCCCTACGCTTTACCAAATTTGTTATGTATTATGACTGAGTATGATTAAACCAGGGCGTGTGTTTATCTGGAAGGAAAGGATGGTGTGAGAGCAAGACTGTAACATGCCAAGTCCAGCAAAGGCAACAGGCCTCAATGGAGAGAGCAAACAAATAAAGAGTCCACGGTGGAGAAGGAGATGAGTTCACTCCAAGAGGTCACCAGGTTTGTCAGGACATAAAGGTTTAAGGTGAGGCTGGTGACGTTATGTGACAGGATGTGCCATTTGTAGGTATTTCCTGCTGTCTTACCCTGCTGGTCGGTCCTGTCAGACTGGTAACGCTGACCACTTGTTTCTCACTCTGACATCCATACAGGCTCAGCACCATGTTGTTGCTGGGGTTTTTTTTTCAAAGTGTTTCAATGTATAGGAGACAGAAGCAAAAGCCTTCTTATTTTGTCAGATTCTTGAATAATTACTTTAGTCTGTGAAGTGTGTCGGTTAACGCCTAAAGCCATTCTTCATTTTGCCAACGCCAACAAAACTTCAGTGAAGAATTTTAAGGCTCTATTTGGTGTACTCGATTAGTATTTTATATACTAATATTAGTATTAAAAAACACTTTTTGCTATTGCAACCACAAACTACAGAGTATGCAGAATAATAACTGGTACTTAGAAACAGAGGTGCACCGATTGCAGTTTTCTGGCCGATCGCTGATGACGATCTTTAAAAAATCTGACCTGTCCATTCTGATTTTGGCAGAGACCAATTTCTTTTGTCTGCAATGTCGCTGTACATTGCAAGAAACTCGCTGAGTTGGCGACAGAATATTGCTAGCTGCAAATGCGCAGACATGACCTGGCAGGCCAGTCCATCAGTCAAACTGGAGAGCAGGAAAGGATGGTGGGTGATATTTAGATCTCTGCTGAGACAGATTGGGGGATAAGATCGGCTTCACATCTAAGTTTCAGCTGATCACAGATCTCCCAATCTTAAGAAATCGGCTGGCTGATGAATTGGTTCACCCCTGCTTAAGAAATTAACCAGGTCATTGATCCAATTAATTCAAGTTCATTACGTTGAGCAATATTCTTCAATGTCAGTCGACTCATTCATCATGCTGATTAGAGCTCCTCTAATCTCACTGAGTTTATTAGCTTGCATATCAGTGTCTACATTCAAGCATCAATTTTTTTCAACAATCTCAATATTATTTTGCATGATAAGAATAACTACATCTACAAATTCCCCTTTGTAAATGTTAAATTTTTGGGAGTTTGAAACAACACATGGATGTGAAAGACTTTGGCCTGGTCAAGTGACCAAAATGCATTTCTTTGGGTAAAATGCTCTGTGAGTGAGAAAACTAACACCTGAGGCACAACATGCCTATTATGAAAAATAGCAGTGGCAGCATCATGCTGTGGGAATGCTTTTTTTCAGCAGAAACAGAGAAGCTGGTCAGACTTTATGAGAAGCTATCTGGATTGAAATGCAGAGAAACCCTAGAAAAAAACCAAGGCTGTAAAAAAAACCTGAGATGTTTTTGCAAGACTTCTTCAGTTTCTTGTGCAGTTCGACAACATGAATATGTCAAGTTTCATTGAAGCATATTTCAAGAGAATTTCAGCTGTCATTGAAGAGAAAGGTAATTTAACAGAGGTGGATTGAGTAGATGTATGTACATCACACTTTACAATTATCAAAGATGAAAGGAAAAATAATCTTGTTTTCTGTCATTTTTAGTAATGCATTTTTTTTTCTGTTGGTCTATTATGAAATGGGAAATCACCAACCCTGCTGCTCAACAACCTAATCAATCATGTTTCTGTTTCTGAAAATTAACCACTACACCCATCACAGAGTGAGACCTCAGCAAAGATCTAAAAATCATTGAAAGCTGCGTTTAGAAAACCGACCAGCGTTTTCAGTCTGTGCAAATAGGCTATATAGCATTGCTACACTTGGCAGAGCTGCAAAAGACAGGCTGGGAAAATACCAGAGCAGATGACAAACATTTGACTGGTCTGCTTTTGTGCAACACAGAGTGGCAAACCAAAACTCAGACCAAGCTGCCATGTATTCTGATTGCTCCCTGTGCCACAGGAATAAAAACAATCCTCTCATGACAGTGACGCTCCTGACATGCCGCTTCTTTCCCACATTCTAATGTTTACCGAATCATCTTCACCCCAACCCGAATCGTACATAGACGGCTCTATTTGTGGGGATTGTAAATCATAAATGGACTTCATAGAATCTGGGTGAGTCATTTGCACTTGCGTGTTTTTCTTAAAATGCAAAATGAATTTTTATGCATTCAGCTATGACTGGAAAGAAACTCCCCAAGAGTTGAAAATAGATTTTCTTTAACCGCTCAGCTGAGGTTGAATTCCTTTGAATGAGGAAAAAAGTGCCCTTTGCCATGTTAAGATGCAGTTATTATTGAAGAGAAAACAAGTAGCGTCCCAGGCAGTTCTGCACAGTCCAATTACAGTGGATCAAAACCAGACAACATAGCGGAGGAAAAAAAGGGGATAAAGACACTGAGACGCATCTCCGGTCAGGGATTGTCTGATGCACAGGAACTGCATCCAGAGAATAATAAGAGGTGCTCTCATTGTATTTTTTCTTTTTAATATACATAAGGGTGTTCAAAGTGGTTCCATATTCACTGACGGTTTGGATGTATGCACTCTTCTCTTTGTATGCAGAGGGATGGGTAATCATCTGGAAATATAAATTGAAAGATGTTCTTATGAAATGTAAACAAAACTTCTAACGAGTTCCATATTATTCTACAAGAACCAAATTTAAAGGACTCTGTTAGGAAAAAAAAAGTCTTCCAAGTCTGAAACAGACACTTTAGTAAAAAGGCCAAAACATTTACTGGTTGACACACTTATTGCTGCTTACCATAAATTAGATGGAGTTGGTAAGAAGATCATAAGCTTCCCATCATTAAATGGTGACCTGGCATTAACGGGGACGCCGTCCTCTGGCTTAAATTGGCAAAGTGGGAGTTCCTGTGTTTAATAGGTTTATTGGTAGGCTGAGCTTGTTGCTAAGTCACTAGTCAAGGGTCCAAGCCTAAAAAGGGGTCTTAATGTGGAAAGACTGGCCGACACCAAGCGGAAACCATTTCTCATCCTGGCTGCTAATGGAAAACTTGTGAAGATGGGAAGTGACACGGGTCAAAGACGTTCAGCGTGCTCGTAATTAGGAACAGAAACTGCGCTTCTTAAGAGCACTTCAAGGAAATCAAAAGAATTTATAGAGCTTTCCGTAAGTGGAGGAAATCACTATTTCCTTTGCCATAAACTACGTTTGAAGTTTAGAAGGTTGTAGAAACTAAAGACCAGAAATTTAAACAGAAGGAAACTTTATTAGATCAAACCCTTATGGATACTTAACCAGCATTTCGCTTTTTTTTTTTTTTTTTTTTTTGCAACAGCAAAGCAATAAAAAAAAAATTAAAAATTAAAACTATTTTTTTAATGGCAGCCACCTTACTGTAGACACAAAGACCATAAACCTACCCCATTCTACTACAGCTTAATCGATAAGTGGACACATTACTGACATTCACACTTACATACATTGCATACTTACCATTTCAAAAACAGCCTTTATTTAAATAAGTAGCATTAATTAATAAATATTAGAGTATTTTATCAATAGGTGGGTGGACTGTTTTTTTTTGTTGTTTTTTTTCAAAAGAAAAAAAGTATATATAGATATATATATATTTATGAATATTTATAAATGATGCATTTATGTGCCCAGTTAAGAAAAGACATTTAGATGTACAGAATATAAAAATCTGGATAACAACACTTCAAGAGACAAGCACAGAAATGTACGCAGCTTTCCCCACTAAGAAATAAAGTTAGATGTAGAAATATAGTTCTAAAGTGCATCTGTTTAAAGACTTGTCAAAGGAAGTCAACAGCGGTCCTATCGAGAAATAAAATGGTAAAGTAACAAAACGTGCAGCAGATATAGAGGAAAACCTACCTACATACATGCAAAGTTTATTTTAAAGACAAAAAGGAATAAACTAAGTAAGAAATACAAAAGACATATTTTCACATTGTCAAGAGGTGATAATTAGTTCTGTGCCATTTCAGTTCACTCTTGAGTGTTCCACACTTGATTATACATAGTATTTATTAAAATTTTAAGTAACCTTGGCAGAGTAAAATAAAACAACAATAATAAAAAAAAGCACACAGTGGTGTAAGTGTTTCTCTTTAAAATGCCTTTGCAGTACATTTTCTCCCTCTCGGTTTGTCAGAGTTGTCCTTCTGTCTGTCCCCTGTAAGTGGTGGCGGACTCTGCGGTTTAGATCTTAGGCAGCTTGGGAGCACTGATAAGAGGGTTGGTCTCTTGCAGAAACCGTCGCCCAGCAGTCTTGTAGTCATAAGAGCAGTCATGTGTCTCGGCGTAACGGTGAGTGGCACAGAAATTGTTTCCACACCTAGAAGAATAAAGATATTACTTTTATTTGCTTTTAACTTTTGTTTTGTTTCTTTTTAATTTAATGTACTTTTTCTCTTTTTTTTTTGCAAGGTACACCATCAAAATTGAAAATATGTTAGGGCCATAAAAACTTTAAATATTGAAAGTATAAAACTTCAGGTTTTCAGAGTGGGAATTTTAGTTCACTTTAAGGGTTTAAGCCAGATCAGCCAAGGTAACTGCAGCCGTTTGTTTTCTTTCAGTAGAAATGTCTGTCGATATCCTCAGATCTCATTAAACTAATAGTTCCCCTCTCCAAACAATCCTGCATGTTTAGCTAACATAATTAGTTTATTTTTTCCTCTGTTGGAGCCGCATGGCATAGTGATGAAGGTCTTCTGAACGTCAGTCAGCAGTCTTCACCCTGATTGTGAAGCCAAACCTTTGCAGATGCTTGAAATAATTAGTTGATTAGTTTGTGACATCATGAGTTTCCAATAATTTACTTTTTTCCAGTAATTACTGACAACTTTTTGCTTTCATTATCTTTAAGCCACAGCCATCAAAATGACATGGAACACAGGCCTGGAACATATCACTATGTGTGAAGATTCAATATGAGTTTCACTTTCTGAGATGACTGGTAAGAAATATTGAGCTTTTCTGCAACATCATCTTTTTTTAATGTACTTTATGAAAACAAATTTAATCACACTTTAGAACAAAAGTCTAAAGTCAGACTTCAGAACTGCTTTTGTTTTAGAGCAAAAGCCGTTCTAAAACTGCTTTTGTTCTGGGTGTCCTGTTTTGTGCACCCAGAAACGCAGCAGTCGTGTTTCTGATCACAACTGGGTGCATGATGTTTACAAGTTGCTGAACCACAAGGTAAGATGAATTGATGCTATGAAATGACAAAACCAATAACTTTTAAAACAAAACGCCCATTTTCCTTCAACAAGACGGCAAATTGAAGGGAACAAGGGAAAGAGAGCTTTGTACAAAAAGGTGTGCCTCAAGGACAAGGTGAAAGACACGAGATTTGCAGTCAGACAGCATTTGTTGAAATCGAAAACAGAAACGGATCTGGGTTGTTTACCTGCATTCGTAACTGGTGGCTAGTCCAGTTTTTTTGCCGCAAAGGAAGCAGTGCTTTGAGCTCTTTTTCTTGGAGCCAGTGGGGGCTTTGACTGGAGGTAGGTGGTATGTTGGAGTGCCTGAGAGCAAAGTTAGCATGTTAGGTACACGTTAGAGTAAAATGAACCACCTCAAAAAAAAAAGAAAAGAAATGTGATAAAATCTTGACCTTGTGGTCTTTTTATAAATTACTTCACGTAAAGTCTACAATCATGCACAGCTTGAAATGATGAGTTTAGACCAGCTTAACCGCAATTGTTAATAACCGTGATTCAAATAGTAGGAGCCAATTCAATTTTAGAGCGATTTTTAAACATGTAGATGAACATAAACTTATAAGTGCTTCCTTGTTGAGGATCACATGTTTGCACATTTTTTTGGCTTTAATTTGCACAATCAAAAATCACTCCGACTTTAAATGAGCACCTACTAGGTCTGTCACAGTAAAATGATGCAAAAAAGTGACTGATAAAAACAACAATAGGCATATCTGTCTCTTCAGAGCTTTCAGGCATCGTGAGAAATGAAAGCAGCAGCTTCCTTCAGCTGTAAACAGGAAGAATAGATGTTGACAACACAAACCAAAAACTGATAACTGTAATACATTCATCTCAGTGCATTTTGGTAAAATTTTTCTCATTACAGATTGCTTTGATCATTTATCCTCCATGTCTTTCAGTGTAAACTAAATATCTATTTAATGTCAATCTCCAAAAACCTCAAAATAAAACACATTTCATCAAAATAAATGCTAACATTTTAGTTGCGGATAGGATTGTTATTTTTCTGGATTTTCACCTGTGTCACGTTGCTTCTGCAACCATCCCTCTTTGAACAACTGCAGCACCAAAGGTTAGGTCTCATATTTTGTTTTTCCACCAGACTCAATTTTATTATTCATTCTGAGGTTCCTTCTATGTACACAGAGAAACTGCCAGGACCATCAGCTCACCAACCTCTTCCACAGTGGAGAAGACTCAAACTTAGATATACATATACACATTTTTTTTTAATTACGAGTTTAAATAAAGTCAAGCAGAACAAAAGTTGGGACAAACCATTTAAAGAGGAACCATGTGTCCATTCAGGCTCCTCCAACAAAGCTGAAGTTTGGCAGCCTGCTTGGCATCTGACTTTTTCCAGGAATGAAAATGAGCATTCTGCTACAGGAAGTCAATTTGTACCTGCCTTGGAGGCATTTCATCAAACTGTTGAAACAGTGAACTGATCCTTAGCTGCCTTGAGCTGACAGCATGGAGGCTGAATGCGATACAGAAAAGATGCACAGTTTTATCCCGAGCTTTCAATCATCTGTCATGGAACGTGCAGTTTCAGCAGGGTTTTGGAAATCTCACAGTTAAAGCTAAGTACCTGTTTTAGAGGTCACCAGGGGATGGATTTAAGACACTACATTTACTTAATGATCAATTGCAGATCGTTCTGTCTTAGGTTAGAAAACACTCCTTGACAGACATTGTAAAATTGTGAACACACTACACAGGATTGAATGTTTCCTCTGCTTCCAATGAAAAGAAATTCAGCTGCAAACAGGGTGAAGGTCAGAAAAATATATTTAATAAAGTCTATTTTGTACTTAGAGAAATTAGACCCAACCTAAATGAGAAAATCTTTGGCTATAGAACTCTGACTTAAAAAGAAAAGAAATCAGTTATTTTAATTAAAGCATGGAAGGACTAAAAACATGGTACAAGATATGACTTCGAAACAAACAGTTTTTCTGGGAGTCTCCAAGAGCTAAGTGGTTGCTCGCACATTTTTCCATAAGTGAAGAAAATCTACCTTACCTAATGTCCCAAATGAACTCATGACTCCTCCAGCTGATGCAAGACAGTTACTGGTCTGAAAACAAAACAAGTACAAAACATGCACAAGTAAAAAATATACACAATTTTATATTTTTGTGCTTTGATTGGTTCTATTATTGTCATTTATATCATTGTGTGATATTAGCAAAACATTCAGTTAGGATTGCAATATATTGTTATATTGATAGAAAATGACCAACACTTCATTTAGCCTTTTTTTTTCTCCCTTTTCTCATGATTTTAGGATTTAGATCAATCCAACTAAATACAAAGTGAGATGCTTTGACTGGGATTTACAATATTCTACTAAATACTACCCCGAGCAACCCAACACATAAACAAAGTTAAGAGAACAGTTAAAACACATCGTCTTTAAAACTAATAAAAAAAAAGAAAAGCTACACGGCTACTAATGATTGTCTGAGCTCACCCTATAAGAAGCTGCAGCTCGGCGCAGTGGCGACATTGGTCTAAAGAGGTCTTCCTGAAGAAACTTGTTGGTAGGGATGGATGGCAGCCTGGAGCCAAGGCCGCTCTGTCCTGAGGCAGTGGCTGCAGGAGGTAAGGTCAGTGCAAAGCCCAGACTCTCTGGAAGGCCTTCTCTGCTGCTGCTGTCTGGAGCTCGGGTGGAGAGCGATGCAAAGAGCTCAGAGTTATTCAGAGACCCTAGCGGCTCCTTACAGGCTTGGTTTACCATCTTAGTGATGCCTCTCGCTTCCCTCTTAGAAATGAGCTCTGGTCGTTTGCCAGGTGACTCTACTTTTACGCCGCGAAGGCGTGTTGGATGAGTTGCAAGGGAGGCAGGAGGATGAGGGGATGTGCTGCCCGACTTCGGCAAGGATTGTGCTTGTAGGTTGGACTGTATGCAAAGTGTTGAGTCAAAAGGCTGAGAAAGGAGTCTGGTTGCTGAAGGCGAAGGGGAGGCAGGTAATGGAGATGGGGGGCTGATATGTACCGACGTGCCAAGCTGGGTTCCATCAGCTCTGCTGGTGAGTGCGTCGCTTGTGCCAAGAGTCCAGGGGCAGAGAGGGGAGGGGGAGTGCGGCAGCTGGTGCTGAGCCCCCACATCAATGGTCTGGTGACCTCCCTCATGCTGAATGGACATATCCAAGCTTAGAGGGTCAGAGAGCTCTCCGAACGACGCCCCAGGCTGGGCTGGTACCACAAGTCCAACCGGCTCCTCCAGTATACTCAGCCCGACTGTCTCCACTGATGGCTCAACAGGGTCAAAAGGGGATTCGCTAGCCCCTCTAGTGCAGAGCGGTGGGAGCTGAGGGTAAACGCAGTCTTTCATCAATCTGCTGCCAATATCCATTCGAGACACTTTCGGAGGAGGGCGGATTTTTGCAAACGGCGGGCACGCCTCCCAGGGTTCCTCCTCCTGAAGCATGTAACATGAAGACGAAGAGAAAGAAGGAGGAGAGCGTCTGTGAACTGTGACGTGGGCAGAGGTTGCAGCAGCAGGGGGAGGAGAGGGGTCAGCAATTGGAGGCAGTGGGGCATTTGTCTGCCAAGGCTGGTTGATCTGTGGGAGGGAGCGAAAGAGGCGATGAAGGTGTTGTGTGCTGGGAGGTCCAAGTGAGCTGGTGCCAGGATGTGGATCAGTAGGCGCCAGCGGCGTCATTTTAACAGACTTCTGGAAGAAGACAAAGAAAGATGCATTTCCAAATGTTATCAGATGATTGTTAAAAGTCACCTGATACACAGTTTGACATCTTGCACTGCATGGAAATGCAACTGATGCTCAGGTTCTCTCTGGGAGGCTCTATGATTCCATCATAATCTTAGAAGAGTTCTATCGCTGCTTAATTACAGCAAAGCTTAAAGCGGTAACAATGTAAATAATTCGGTTCCTGTATAAAAATTGACAGATAAGGAAGAAAATTTACATCAGTAAACCTAAAATGTACAAAGCACCATCATATATGAAGTCACAGCAGAACTTTCATATTTGAAGTTCTCTTGATTAATCTGCTTACTTTAATATTTGACAATCAGCAACACAAAGTATGTTTCCGCACCCAAAAAATGTATTAAAGAAAAAAAAAATATTAACATTTAGATAGGTTTTCTGACCTTTTTATTAAGGTTCATGTCCTCCATCTTGGCTTTAAGCAGCTTCATTTTGGTCATGGTGATTGAGTTCTCCAGGCAATGTTGTGCAGCTGCTGAACTCTCTCCATCCTCCTCAGCATACACATTGTACACTGAGCTACCACTGAAAAACATGGCAAGCACAAAAAGACACTTCCAGTAAGTTACCTAATAATACAAAACTAAAAACACCCGCTTATTTTTCTCTCGTTGAAGCATGTGGTTACTGCAATAGCCCTATTTTGGCTGCTTTTAGCTCCAGGTGTGGCATCTTTACCGTAGAGGATCTCTCGGTGTCTCGTCGCAGGGTCCTGGAATGCAATTAAAAGTAACATTTTGCATATGGCTGAAACACCTTTATATGCAAAGGTATGTGAAGATCACTGAAGATGTGGTGGTGAACTATAAAATCAATGTTCTCTTGTTTGTTTCAAGAAGTTAGGAGCAGTGTTTTTATTTTATCAATGCGGAGTTTCATTTACGTTTAAGCAAGTTAGCAGCAAAAGCAGTTACAAATCCCGATACATGTAAATTGATATTTTTAACTCTAGTATTCCACTGACCTTCCTACAGTGTAGAAGCTTTATAACTGTAATCAACACTGAGTTTCAGTCAACTATTTATAGAGCATCTCAAATGGCAATGAACCAATAAAAAACCAACCTCAGAGACTCAGAGAGGGGAGTCAGGGTCCCGTCTCCCCTGTCAACCACTCGGAAGAAGCTCAGTTGGTCGCCCTCGCGATACACAACAAACGTGACCTGCTTATTTGTTTGGTTTTTGTCCCAACCGTCTTCCTTTGTGCTCTCCATCAAGTCAGCCACTTCCTTGATAGGATCCTCCAAAGTTACTAACAAAAGAAACAAGAGGAGAAGGATCCTGTGATTAGAAATAGGAGAGCGTCTACTCAATACAAGTTATTTATGAAATAGTTAAGATTTCTTTTTAAATGCCATACCCCTCCTGGTGTTAATTGGTCCTCCCCTCATGGCCAAAACAAGCTTCAACGTGCAGCCCTCTGCAATTCTGCAACAGCAGATGCCAAATTTTAATATGTCTACAAAAGAAATTCCACACATTTGCACCAAAAGCTCTGACTCAAAAGAGAAATTCCAAGAGGCGGGGTAAGATCTAGAGGAACCTAGGTGGGAATTTTACAGGGATAGATGCTCTATTCTACTCCTGGAAACCTAAATGTATGCTACAGTGTGATAAAGGAGCCTGGTAAGATTCCACAACAGGCTGTTCATGTGGAAAATTAAGTGACACGCATAACAATACAATCAGCTGCATCCAGCAGAGAACTGAAGGTTGCATGCTGCAAAATGATCAAAGTGGAAGAGCAAGTTCTCTAAATGTCCTCATATGGGGCTTCTCTACAGCTCTGGATTATTTATGTGTGAAACAATCAAGACTCGCACTCCACCCATAACAGCACAAAAGCTTTTAAAAAAAATACATCTGGCAAATGATTAACTGTACAGGTGCCAGGGCTCCAAATGACAGGAAATGTTGATTTACCCATAATCATGTAGACAATGATCATCATCCAGCTCAACATTGTTCCAGATAAGATGCTGCTGTGCAACAGGAATACCTTTATACAGTCAGAGAGAGGGGAGGAGAGAGAACAACCAAAGTTCACAAGGATCGGTTCATGTTTCATTTGCTAGTTCGACTAATGGAGGAAGGCCTTCAGATATGATACATGACTCATGCCTGCCCCCTACAGACAAAATATGGCATCTGCTGAAAAAGTCAACGTGAAAACTAAAATTATCCCCTACTACCATTCACAACTGAAAAGTTAAAGTAATGTAATTTTAAAAGAAAAAAACATATCTGTAAAAATTAAGCTTTTAAATAAATCAGGGTGGCTCAGCAGACATAAATCTAAAGACGTAATAATTATCTACAAGCTGAGAGTGCACAGAACACACAGCTTGAAATGAGATCGAGTGTGTGCATGATCAGGAAGCCCACTGTGTGGATGAACTACTGACTCCATGCTGGGCGTAAGACTCAGTCTCAGGGAGTGAAGAGTGGTTGCTTCATTGCTGAGCGACGTGCGCTGTGAGAGACATCTTAAAAGCTCACACACAGCTTTGTCTTAACTAAAACTAAAGACAGTATGGGAGGAGTCAAGACAGAAGGTGATGTACTACGACAACCTTTACAGGTTAAGATAATCAACACACAAATTCAACAGATTTCTAATACAGTCTAAACAGACCAAACAAATTACATTTAAATATTTAATTAAAACACTATGTTGCAATTTCCTCTTTATTCAATAAAAGCACCTCCTGCTTTTTCAGAGAATTGAGAGACAAACATTTATTTTAGATTTCAAATTGAGCCATGTGAGCCATAATGACAGAGACCTATCAGTACACTGGTGGATGTGCTCACACAACTTGCTGTGCAGAAAAATACAAAACTTGTTCAAACCTGAGAAGGTGCAAGTGTGAGAAGCAAATTTACAACACATGAAAGGGACAAAAAAAAAGTACCTTAGACTACTTTCGAGAGGTGGAAACCTGACTTTATCTCAAGCCAATAAATTGTCAAATTACAAATTATATTTCTTACTGAAAGAACCATTTCACATCCAATTTAACATCACAAGAAAAGCGAGGAAACCAGCAAAATATATATCAAATACAACACTTGTGTATTTTTCATTAGGTCAGTTTTGAAATAGATGATTTAACTATAATTTTTACTTGCAAGAATAAAATAACACATTTTCTGAAAAGCAGACTTGAGTGAGCTTAGTACCTTCCAGCCTCTGGATCTTCGCTTTGACCGAAACCACAGCTTCAAAGGGCAAGACGCGCAGCTCAAAACAAGTTCCTGTCAGGGTTTCTATGAAAAGCTCCATAGTGTCATAGAAGGGAAGCTTATACTGAAAAGCTCCCACGCTGTCGTCATTAAAGAAGGGGGGCTCCTTCCTGTTGGTCATCGTGGGAGAATGCCAGACGCACTTCAGAGGGTTGATGGAGCAGTGAGGCTAACCCACGGTGACGGAGAGGGGGACTGCTCACTCCACTCGTTACAGACGCGCATCATGAAGGACGACTGCAGCTGTGAGTAGAGGCAACAACCAACAAACATCTGTCACAGTGTGCAGGTAGCCCCGTGAGTTTATTAAGTGCGAGCGTCCAATTAATGGCTCCAAAAGGCTCTAAATTAACCTGGTAGAAAGCAACGCACCAATTAGTTAGTAATTAAAGTAAAAGAAAAAAAAAAACAGGGGCCAATTTTCAAGTAATGGTGCAACTGAAAATGTTCACTTCTTTTAGTCTGAAGATAAACACTGATTGACACATCAGTTCAGTATAAAAATATTGCACTGAATTGATATAATCCAAGCAGAATCTGATTTCACTTGGATTTGTAACCACCCTGGGTACTTGCAGCATATTTGCATTTTTTTTCCTATTAAATGGGAAATGTCATTTAACAATAAAAATTTAAGAAGTTTATCCACATAAGCTTGTGTATGTTAAAGAATGCGTCATTCACTTAGAAATCAATGCAAAAGACTTTAAGGAGAGTCGTAGACCTGCTTAAAGCCTGGGCATTTCTATACTGAAGCACATTCAGCTGAGGTTTTCTCTATTCATTTTAGTTTAGGGCCTTCAGTTAATGGTTTAATACTTACTAAGGATATGTAATTCAGAAAAAAAAGAAAAAAAATCACTCTGAAGAGTCATTTGTAGGACAGAGAAATTTAAACTATTGTTCAACTGTTGAGTCATTGAGATATGCCACCTCTGCATGCAACAAGATGCAAATTTCTCATTAAACCTTCAGCAAAGTATTAATGTCTTTGAACAAAATTCAAGAAGATCAGGTGTGCTACATAAGCTCATTGGTGGTATAAAGTGTCCAATGGCTCACCTAACCCTCTGACAGATTATCGTGTGTCTCTTGAATTAAACAATGTAGAATTCAACTACATGATATAAACTGTAAGGACAGCAGACCAGAACACCAGCATGTTCCATTTAGTTTGAGTCAAACAAAATGTTAACATTTGAAATTAGAAATACACATGCCCAACTCATTTGAAGGCAGAATGAGGATTACATTTTTAAATAAAGTATATTATCTTGGTTCAATATGTCTTGCAAAATAGCACCAATTAATGACAGATAAATATTGGGAAGAAGCATAATCATCCCTCATTCCTTATTAAACATTAAAATTTTTAAAGTGTGTGCTATGAAATAATTTAGTACCCATTCATTGGTTCAATGCCATATTAATGGCACTATGTGGCAGCCTTGCTTCTGTCAGACTGCACCAGGGCAGCTGTGGCTACAATCCAGTAGCATCCATCGACAGTGCATGAATGTGTGTGTGAATGGAATGACTCATTCCATTGTAAAGCACCCTATGAGAATTGAAAAGCGCTATAAAAGTCGGACATCAATTTCATTCAGTATTTACTCAATAAAACTGCATAGTATATTGAATCATAACTGCCACAATATCAGTGTCCCGGTGCTGCTTGGAAGCCATATTTTGTAGCTCGTTACACATCATGTACCATGCATTTAAATTCTGTATGTCAATAACGTAGTTGGTCAGCTCGACTGTTCCTTTTGCCCATATCACGTCGAGATCGAGATTTTGGTGACAAGATCTGGACACGAGAGTGAGTTTTAGCACTCTCACTAAAAGTGCTAAAATGCTTGGTAAAAATATTGCAGTGGTGGAAAGGAATGCGTACCAAAACGAGTGGCTAAGGAAAAAGGGATAAATTTCAACTGACAGTAATATGAAGCACTGATACTGAAATACAATGTTTTACCAAGCCTGAGAGGTTTAGAAGTGCTATAAAACATTAAATACAAAAAGTTAACAGTTGCACTTTGAAAATGTACATAAATATAGCTTTCGAACTTCAAAACAGCAGCAGAAAGAATTTCACAAAAGAAATATCCTGTCCTGTAAAATACACAAAATATCTTAATTCTGGAGCCCTTCTAACTTTTAAGGTAACGTGATTTAAAAACTTGTAAGAAAAAAAAAAAGATTAAAAAAAAGTGATTAGAACACATTCTTCTGATGGAGAAACAAATGAAACCAAACACTGTAGAACAACTTTCTGCCAGATCGTCTCTGTGCTGGGACGAGGCCTCAGATATGTCACGGTCGCTGTTGAGCTGAAACAGGCCCGCTGTCTGAAGAACAACGTTGGTCAACTTACAAACAACCGCATCCGTTATTTGCTAAAGCGGCATTTAACGACGGCACAACAAAAACGCAGGGCTCGGTCGCAGCACAAAAGCAGAAGCCACAGGAGGCTAGGCAGGAGGAGGACATCAAAATGTTGCTAGCAGTGAAAAAAAAAATGGAGATGAATGGAGTTCAAACCGTGTCATTGTTATTTCAGAACTCAGAGTCAATGGAAACATTTCACACGGGCATTTTTTAAACGTGCAGTCTTTCATTTAGTTACTTTTAACCCTGAATTTAAATGAATACCGTCATTCAACGCCACTTACCAGTAAGTCCCATCTAGCCGTCGATGCTACAGGCGTTAGCTTCCGTTGCCATGTTAGCCAACAACTCAAACAATGGCTTCCCTTCACGGGCTGCTGCTAGGCTACATTCAACACTGGCTTCGACTCAGTCCTCCTGCTGGAGCCGTTTAGGGCGAAACTACCTTCAGAACTGAGCAACATCACGTATGACCGCAAAACCTAATCACAAAACGGAGCGAAATATACTGATCGGTGAGCGTCGCCGTTGTGCGCTGGTTGGCGACATCTTTTACCTGTCAAAGGGGGCTGAACGACACCTACATGACTCACAGTTGATTGATTATAAAACGAACCAATAGAACGAGACTAAGTGGGCGGGACAACAGGGCATTTTATTATTAGGACGTTGATAAACATAGTGATAAAAAGTATTTAAAAAAATACAATTTTGGCAAATAATCTACCACAGTGCATACAAACCCCCAAAAACAAATATATATATATATATATATATATATATATATATATATATATATATAATTTTATTTATTTTTGAAAGTATGAAAGTATGGTTTACATACTTTGAAAGGGAGGAAAAAATGACACCTCAATAAATGTTAATTCTTCATTAAGAAACGTTCAAATATTTATGTCTAATGTTTTTATTTCCCTCTGGAAAAGTAATTTCACTTGTAGATGAATCTTTTAATCCAATAAACAAATATCAGCAAAGTACCCCTCTGTCCATATGTTGTCTTAACCCTTTTGAAGCATTTCAGTGAGATGCTTCTTGTATCCATCTGCTAATCTGTGACAGCTGAGGAAAGTTTTCCCCACTCCTCACTTTCAGCTGTGAAATGTGTGAGGGGTTTCTTGGATACGGAGTGTTTCAAGTCACACCAATGAGATCAAGGTCTGAGCTTAGGCTTTTTGTTTCTTAATTCTAAGCCAGTCTTCATTATGTTATGACTTATTGTGATGTTGCATGGTTCAGTGCTACAATAAAATAGTCTAATTTTCTCTGGTTCCTGCTCAGGGAAAATGAGCAGGAATGTATCATCATTCATAATACATGATGATACATACCATCATGTATCATGATGGTATGACTATACCATTATGATGATACCATCATAATACATGGTGTTATGATTAATACCTGGTATTAATCATACTGGTGAGGTGGCCAGGTGCAGCAAATCCTCCCTAAAACTGACATTTTCAACTCCATACTTCATAGTTGCTATGAGGCTTTTTCCTGGATTGTTGTCTTTGGTTTCTGATGCATGAAAAGTTCAATTTTAGACTCACCTGTCCTCAGAAACATGACTTCTAAAAGTTCTGGTCTTCATCTGTTTTTTTCTGTGACAAACCTTAGTTTGTCACACATCATGTGCACCTGTGTCTGATTTTAGCGGAACATGAAAGTCCTTATCTATTCCCTACCACAAATGGCATTTCAAATAATATTTATTTTTGCTTTTTGTGTGGACATGTTATAAAACCACACAGACTTTCTTGATTTTAATGTTTACTGCTGTTATAAAAAAAATAAACCATTTATTGGATTCAACAAATGCCAAAATACTCCCTTGCTCTGGAGTTAAAACAAGAAAAGCAATGATCGACCTGGAAATAATCACACATAATTCAAGTAAAATATGTTTCATTTTAGTTATTAAAAAAAGCATCATCTTTATCATCACAGTCAAAGTTAGGAAATGAAGGAACTTCTTAAAAACATTGTCAAAATTGACTAAGACGGTCAGAATGATATGGCACAAACCTAAAGACATAACATCTCACGTGGCAAAGCCAAACAAATCGATATAATTTCTGCAGGCCTCAAGACTAAGCATAATGTATGCTTATAAAGTGCTATTATGTATTATAAAGACTAAACAGCTATATTGACTATGATGCCAGAATAATTTTGGAAACTCCATTGAAAGATGAATGGAATTGTATTAATTACAGTCTTTGTCAGACAAAAAAAATAAGCCACATATTGATATGATGTTATAGCAATAAATATTCTATCAACAGTGTATCATATCTTTTCTTGATCACTTAATAATGAAGCAAAAAAAAAAAAATCCACAATTTTACAAATTCCAGGCCACTCAAAGACATCAGTTCCCACCCAGAATGTTAAGTGGGTCATCAAATATGTCACTGGAATCTGGTGCGGTAGTGATTTCCTTGGCTGGTGGAGTTTTCTTTGATTTATCAGGAGCCTTCGGCACCGGCTTTGCTGTGCTTGTTGTAAAAAGGTCATCTTTGAAGGGCAAAGAGATATAACAATGTTAAAATATGACAAATAAAAGGTGAGCACTCAGCAACACGGGTGATCTTTAGAAAGCATATGGTGGCAGGCAAAAGTATTAAGTTTTGTATTTTTACATTTTGTCATGTTCAAACCTCAAACATATGTTATAGAGATTTAATACAACAGATCTACACAAAGTAGTCCGTAATTGTTAGCAGTTGCGCCATTTGCTTTCTACTTTTGGATGACAGACTGAAAGGTGCTCTAGATGACGCTTGAAAGCTTTAAAGATTGTTGCTTAACCTAATTGTGCTTTAAACTACCGTACTCAAGTTCTTTCCTTAGTTTTTGTGATGTTTGTTCTCCAATGTTTCCCAACAAACCCCTGAGCCCTTGACCAATCAATTGGACTGAGATTAAATTACACATTTGCTATTTGTGTGACTTCCCTCTTGTTTCACTAAATTTCATCCTTCGGTGACAGAGTAAAAAGAGCTGAATAAAAATGTATGCCTCACTTTTCAGACTTTATGACACTTATTTATCCACCATTTCATTATTACCCACTACTATGCTATGCTCACACAAAAATCCGCATAAAATATATTGACATTTATGATTATATTCTAAAAATGTGAAACACTTTGGAAAAGCATTTTAAATGTGTGACAAGCATCACTGTTGCTTACCCATGTCGTCATCAAATATTGACTTCGTCTCTCCCTTTAACTTGGACTTCGGTTTTGGTTTAAATGTGTCTGTCAGGTCAGCAAAAATGTCTACATCATCGTCAAACAAGGCAGCGTCAATGCTTTTCTCTTTGAGCTTCTTGTCAACTTTAGGCACAATGGTGACTTCATCCTGTAATACAAATTCAGACAGGAAAAACAGGAATCAAATCCACTCTGGCACAGATAAACCTCCATACATTTACCACAAACAAAAAAATAAACCTACCTGAAAAATGTTCTGTGTCAAAAAACTACTGCCATTCTTGATTTCTTTGTTAGTTTTGGGTGTGGCAGTGGCACTGCTGTTAAGTCCAAATAAGTCATCATCGTCGTCTTCCATAAAGGGTGAGACTTTAGCTTTCTTTGTTACCGCACGTGGCTTAACATTTTGGAAAAGATCATCAGTGTGCGTATCAAATATAGAGGAATGTTGACTGGGATCCACATCCTTCTTAAGTCCTGCCCCACTACTGGCCTTTGGCTCTATGCTTTTGGGGGTTTCTCTGGGTGAGGGATTGTTAAAGACGGTTTTAGGCCCAAAGAGACCATCTGAGTCAAAGAGGTCATCTTCTTCTAATGGTAGTTTCTTTGTGCTGCTGCTGTCCTCACTGGAGTCTTTCGTTCCTGCTTTTGTCGATGCTGGCAATGACAGCACATTGGGTCTGGAAGAGCTTTGAGAAGATGAAGGCTGTGAAGGTAAAGGCTTTGGTGAGGTTGATGCTTCGGATGAGGAATGAGATGTTGGGTCGATTGGCATGCGGTCGGATTTGTCTGAAGGGGGCAACGCGAAACTGGAAACACTGGGATTTGGCCCAAAAATATCTTCCCCTCTGCTCTGATCTGTGTCCCCTATCGACTTTTTGGCAGCCTGCTGCCTTGCCGCTCTGGACTGGGGTCTCCGAAGAGCCGAACCTTTTGCACGGCCCTGCAAGGGTAGGGAGATTTTAGCTACTTTCGGAGCAGAGAAGATAAAGAGACAACAGTACAGAAAGTGTCCAACTCAAAACCCACCTTGTGAGCACTTTGCAGAGTCGTGACCTGGACTGGTGTATCAAAGCTGACCCCCCCTTCACTTTCCTCATGTCCTCCTATGGGGGTTGAAACAGGACTGGGGCTCAGGCTGGAGCTGGATACCCCAGAGGAAGAGCTCAGAGTCCCTGAGATGCTGGAAAGACCTCCAGGGAGCAAAGCAGCAGGGTTGATCATCAGACTGGCCTGGACATAAAAATAAAGAAATCATTTTTTAATTTTAGAGAAGCTGCGTAGATTCTTTTTAAGATGATTTTACTTCAAGCAAGAAAATTCAAACTAATAATACAAATTTGTATCACTTCTCTAACTTGTAAGTTCCTCTATGTGGTTCAGAGAAAGGAGAAACCAGGACTGAGGATGAAAATGGTGCAAGAGCAACAATGAACAGCAAGAACTGCTGAAACTGCAAAGACCAGCAAGATAACTCATCTTCATAAGTAAAGTCAATCTGCAAAGTTTGCGAAAAAGCAGATGGAAAAAAATATGTAAAAGTAGCAATGATAAAGCTCTTCCCAGAAGAGGAAAATAAGAGAAAAAAAAAAAATAGGTCAGTATTAAAGGCTTTTGATTCAGTTAAAAAAGGAAATTACTTGAAGTTTCCCAATCCTTGATGAGGAATCTTTAGGTTTTACAGGGCTTGGTGCTGGTTTCTGTGTGGTCAGATTACAGCAGAATCAAAATTGTATCCAACATAACATTTGTGTTTTCTTAAAAAAAAAACAAGACAAAACAACAACAAAAAAACGATCATACAATTGAGAACAGAACAAAACAAAAATAATGTTTCTAAATTAGTAAATAGTTGCCACAGTTTTGTAGTATGGAACTGAAAAAAATCAAAACTAATCAAAAACACAAATTCAGCCCACCTGAATCTCTGAAACAGGATCAGGGCTTGCAAGTGGCGCTTTATCAAGAGGTTTGCTTGATTTCTTTGCTACTATCTATATAAAAAGGGAAATAAATGGTTGGTATTTTTTTTCTAAGTGTTAAAAAATTAAAATCCAGTGTTTCATAAAAACATATAGCTTGGTTGTTACCGGAGGGGGTGGAGTTGCCTCGACTGAGCTGAAAATGTCATCTTCGTCATCGTCTGAAAACAGATTATGTGCTGCTGGTTTCATCGGACTGACTTTAGAACTCTGAAAATAGACCGAGGAGAAAAAAAAGAAAAAGTTTTTTTTTTTTTTTTAAACATACAATGAAAAACATTTGCAACTAAATACAGAATAAAATATTGTTTCCAGAGTAAGCAAAAACACAATGTTGAACACAAACATGTTCATGACAAGTTTGGCTTTTGAGAACTTTGAAGAAG